AGATGGTAGAGTAACTTCTGCAGACCATGGAGACAGAAAGTCAGCAGCCTAAAAGCCACGTACATACGCAAGCTGCCATTTCCCTGTAGGGTAAAAGAAATTTACTGCTCTGTTAGAATCAGAGATGCCATCACCTAATTTTTAACCAAAATGAAAATGAACTGAATTTTCCCGATGAAACATTTGATAACTATTAGACTGAGTTAATAAGCAAAACCCAGTTATGTGGTGTTTATAAAAAAACACTTGAAACAAAGTGATAGAAAGCCAACATAAAAGGATGGACCAAGATCCCAGGCAAAGACAGAGTCAGAAGAACTAGCAATATGAGGGTTATACAGGTAGTATTTAAGTTAATGGCATAAGTAGGATAAGGAAAGACATTACATAATACTTTTTAAAAGGCACAGTTTATGAGGGAGGTAAATAAACCTGTATATATAGGATAACATAGCCACTAAATCTATAAAGCAAAAGTATTAGAAATGCAAATATAGTTATGGTGAGACACTTTAATAAACATCTCTTGCTTGTCTCAACCTGTATTAACCTTGTATAGAACCCTGAGATGGAGAAATTGAATAAATAAAAATGGATTCAGTGGATATGTGACACTTTAGATCCCTTCAGTACAGAACATTCGTTTTCTGGATCACTTACAAAACTTGATCATATACTTGACCACAAGGATGACCTTAGCAAATTCAAAGGAAAAAGGATTTTTATAGATCCTGTTCTCTGATCAAAATCCAGTAATATTAGAAATAAATAACGAGGTAGTAAAAAGAACCTTTACTATTTGGAAACTTAAAAACATTCTTTTCAACCCTAGCATCAAAGGAGAAAACAAAAGTCAATTTACAAGATATCTAGAAATCAATCAAAGGAGCACAGTTTATTGCAAAAGCTGTGGAATACAGTGAAAGCTGTTGCTAGTGGAAATTTTTACAGCCTTTAGATGTTTTCATTATTTAAGAATAAAGACAAAGTGTACTCTTACTATGAAGTGAGAAAGAATGACAAAACTAACATAAATTAGAGGGAATAATAAAGATAAAAGCCAAAGTTAATAAAACAAAAAATAATGTAAAGGACAAATACATACAACAGTTCCTTGAAACAACAAAACAGATACAAAGATTTATGTGTTTGATTAGGAAATGAAGAGTAAAAAATTTGTGAGACCAGAAACGAGAATAAACATGTAATCAGAGAGGCAGGAACGAATCAAAAAAGACAGCAGAGATAACTGTATTCAACGCTATGGCAACGAACTTGAAAAACCAGAAGAAATGGGTTATTTCCTTGCCAAAGATAAATGTCCAAATTTGGAAGAAAATAAAATTAGGATTGTATCATATACCGTATATAAAGCTGAAAACAAGTTAAAAATAAAGCAAGACAAACTTTGTAAGAAAATAACCACACATATAATATTAGGAGCAGTATTAAGATTGGAGACCTAGAAGCTACAAGAGAAAGGATAAACATATGACTGTCCAAAGAGTAAGATATTCTGCATTTCAAAAGATATTAAGCAAAGCCAATAAATGGTAAAATTTGAGCAAGTGTTTGCAATACGGAGGACAGAGTTTAATATGTCTCGTGACAACGTTTACGAACTGACCAGAAAAGCCCAGCAATCCAATAGAAAAATAACCAAATAAGAAGGTGTAGTTAAGACAGGAGCAAACAGGGCGCCTGGGTGGCTCAGATGGTTAAGTGTCTGCCTTCAGCTCAGGTCATGATCCCAGGGTCCTGGGATCGGGTCCCGCATCGGGCTCCCTGCTCAGCAGGGAGCCTGCTTCTCCCTCTGCTTCTCTCTCTCTGTCTCTCATGAATAAATAAATAAAATCTTAAAAAAAAAAAAAAAAAGAGAGGAGCAAACACAGAAGGCTGATATGTGAGAAGGTACTCCAACCCAAATCATGGTCTGTCACCCCTCAGATGGGCAAAAATTTATAGTCTACTAACATCCATTGCTGTGGGGGGATAAAAGTCCTCCTGTTACTAGTGGTCAAAGTCTGTGTTATACTATTGGAGAGCAGTCTTGCGACGTAGGTCAGAGGTAATATCTGTTTGACTCAAGAACTCCACTCCTTGTCTCTTAATAAATAAAAACACCCATATGTAAGGGTGTCACAAGGTTGTGCTCCTCCGTAACGTTTGTGTTGGGGAGAAATGGGGAGAGAGCAAGTTTGCGTCTTTAATATGAAAGGAATTAAGTGGCTGTATTACAATATACCCAAATGGTGAGATATGTGTTCATTAAAAAAGGAATTTAAGGCTCTTATTAGTTGAATTGAGAGCTTTCCATGAGCCATTATTGTATGGGAAAGGCAAGATGCAGAAAACTGGGTATTACATAGTAGTCAGAAAACAATGGAAAAATTGTGCTTCTATGTGTATAATTACATGTACATGGCTAAATATGTGTACATGGAAATATATATGGAAGAAACATACCAGGTAGTTACTAAGTGTTACTGGGGGAAGACGGAGGTACAGAGGCTGGTATGGGTGGAGGGAGTGTGGAGGAGACATTAACCAAATAAACATACACACATGCTACATAGTGTGCTAGAGATGGTAGAGTAACTTCTGCAGACCATGGAGACAGAAAGTCAGCAGCCTAAAAGCCACGTACATACGCAAGCTGCCATTTCCCTGTAGGGTAAAAGAAATTTACTGCTCTGTTAGAATCAGAGATGCCATCACCTAATTTTTAACCAAAATGAA